GGCTTGTCCCTTCCTTGTGACCCTTCTGTGAGGGGATGTCCAATTGTCTACAGATGAGCTTTGGGTCTCCACTCCAACCCCCTTCATTTGCATAGAAATGGTTGTTTGTTTTGGGTCCTCTGATGCCTGATACCTGATTCCGTCACCGGCACACGTTGGTGTGCTTCTTCAGTGTGAACTTTGCTTCCCTGCTAAATGGGCACTTGTTTAACTTCAAGCCTTTACTATCCCATATGCGGTACCTTGTGATAGCTGGTGGGCACCATCAGCTTTCTTCACCGCATTAGCTTTTTGCACCCATTTTGTCTTCGGTAATCATGTTGGGAAGGTGAGCATCACAGAATGCCAGGTTCTTAGAACAAAATATTCTTGCGTGGACTTGGGTAGAGCCCAATGTCCATCTGCTACCTTAATACTTAACCTATAAATATATGTACATAGACCCATTTCCCTATTGTTATATCTTAATTGTGATATCTTAATATTACATATATGTAATATATTTACATATGTACATGCCTATGTTTATACCTCTATAAATGTCTTTTGCCTCCTAGTTCTTTCCTCTACTTCCTTTTACTTTCCTCCTGTCCCACTATCAAGTTGAACCTTCATGCAGCTCTCTGCACTTCCTCTCGGCTACACTGCACTTTTCTCGACCATCACCCTCCTCACCATCGACTTTAGATCTCTTCTTACTCCCTTGTCCCTGGGTTTGTTGGCTCTCCCCTCTCTTTCCCCCACCTCCTCCTCTACCCTGACCCCTGGGAACTGTCGGTCCGTTGTTTTCTCCTTGGGATTGTTTATCCTATCTTATATAGATATGAAGAAGAAAAATATAGCCTATGAATAGTTCCAGGTCTGTGTGCCGACCCTTATGAATGTCTTCCGATCGGGTCTGATGCAGTTCCAAGCCCTGCCCCCCAAGTCCAAAGTCTATTTTCAGAATTCCTCAGGGACTTTTGTTGCTTTAAGAGTGTAACTCAAACAACAATAATAACCAAAAAAAGTATTGCTTTATAAAGCTGTAGAAAGTGTTATTAAGCAAAAAGATTGAAGTAAAAAACAAACAAACAAAACAAAGAAGAGTGTAACTCTTGGGGGGAGGTGTAAGGGGAAACCAATCACAATAATCGATGTATGGCCCCCTCCTGGGGGACGGACAGCAGAAAAGTGGGTGAAAGGAGACAGCGGTAGGTGTAAGACATGAAAAAAAAAAGAATAATTTATAAATTATCAAGGGGATATGGAAGAGGAAGGTTGGTGGGGGAGGGGGGAAAACGAGGAGCTGATACCAAGGGCT